GTCTGTCCTCCTTTTCTAATGACCCTGATCTTTGAAGAACCAACTGTACATTTTCCCTTTCATTGCATTTCAGTGGTGAGATACATCGTAATATCATAAAACTAATTTACTCAAATATAGTACATCAATAAAATTCTACACTTTGCTGGAGTATTTTCATTTTATGGTTTGGAATCAGTTTTCAAATGTCACTGTTTCCATTAATGTTGATGTTCAGTAGCTTTGCACCTACATGTGATGCGCATCTAGCTGCACTCCTTTGAATGTTTTTAAGGTAAAATAGCAAATAAAATATAGAGGAAGACTCATCTCAACAGTTCTATGTACGCTTATTTGCAGACCCTCACAGCTCCTGGACTTAAATGTCACTGAAAATCTGAGGGCAGATCTTAGACATGCTGTACGTGCAAGACAGCCCAAAATATCTCAGAAGTTGAAGTGATCTGCAGGAAGAACGGGTGAAAAGTGAAGAACAGAAAGACACTAACATTAGCTGGCTGCAGAAGGCATTTGCAAGCTGTGGTATCGCTGTGGGGGTGTTCTTCACTTTCATTCAGTGTTTTTAAGGTAACTTTTCCAACAGGTTTACTAAAGCCTGTACTGCTGTGGGATGCATGGGTTGTGGATTGTTGCTGCCATTTTGCAAATTTCCAGGTTATGGCGAGTATATTTCAATGTTATTTGATTCTTTTTTATGTAAGGTACTATTTAGCATACTTTATTGTTCTTATTGCCAACTTTTAGTATCCAACATAATATATTTTTACTACTGGTAATTATTGAATTTGTAGTATGTTTAATTATGATTTGCACTGTCATGGCAGTTGCCACCTAGTTTCATTGCATAAGCAATGACAAAGACTGATTGATTGACCTGTACACTGCTTAGTATCTCACAAAGAACTCTGAAAAAAAACAAAACAAATTAAAACTATATTGACTGATTCTGCTGGAACTTATTAAATGATATCATCTCACAGCCCAATCTTCCTGATGGCTACAAGTCTGAATTCCCTAAAGGGAAAACAGACAGAATATTACAAATACAAGAAGTTACACTGTGTCCATCCCAAAAGACAAACAGGGATAGAGGAGCAGAGCGCAGGCTTGGCAGAACCTCACAAATCACATTTCACTCAAACAAGCTGAAACATGACAGAGGTTTCTATGAAAGTTGTGTGTTCAGGGCACCTATTTTTCTCTGTTCCCATCTCTCCTCATTGTATTACAGTTTAAAGGACTCTGTAGGAAATCCATGTGGGACAGATTACATAGCGGAAGGAAACGGGTTCGGTCGTCTACAAATAAGCACTACAGCCAGACAGCAGTGGGTCCCAGAGTAGAGATCTCAGCAAATCGACTCATGCTCACTTTGTTTTGGGAAAAAGGTACTTTGTTAAGGGTAGTAATAAAAAAAGTCACAGCAATGTGGTTTTTATAGCTTCTTTCTTGACCTTTATCAATTTAAGAAAGGCAGAGAAATTCTTTTTCAGCACCAGTCTGCAGTCAGAGCTCCACTGAAGCAGCCTTTTTGCTCTGCGGTGGGCACAGATGCTTTTAGGGCTGGTTCACTTTGATAAACAGAAGTAGCGAGAGGACGTAGAAAGGGACATTTGTATCACTGTTAGCTCACAGATGCGTACATATTCTAGCTAACTAACTATTCTAACTAAATATTTGCCATATTTTCTCAATATTTGCTTAACAATGTAAATGATGTGGCAATGTTGATCCACAAGGCAGCCACTTCTGTCAAGACTGAAAAATCTCGACAGCTCTTGGACAGCTTGCCATGCCAGACATTTATGGTCCCCAGAGGAAGAATCCTAACGACCTGGGTGATCCTGCCATTTCTCATCTACTGTCACCAACACGTCAGTCTCCATGTCTTTTCCAATATTTCAGCAACGTAATTTTAACAACTCAACATCTGAAAATGTCTTTGGGACTGATCCTCTAGGGACAATGAATGTCTACTGCAAGTGAAACTAAAAGTAAAGGTTCCAGTCTGACAATGTAGAACTGAGTCTGACGAACTGAAACTGAGAAAATGGCTGCTAGACAGAACTTGGATAACACTACAGTTCCCACTGCAACCATATCACCACACAAACCTATCGATATTGAACAATTTTGCCAGTGTTTTAAAAATTTTCATGCTCTACAATCTCTGCATATGGCAACTATGGTATTATGGGTAATAAAGGCAAACTTTTATGGCAGCTACATGAAGTAACACCAAGTTCAGTCTCCTAAAATGAAGTCAGACGTGCTACACATCCATCTACAATCAGACGTCCAGCTGCTGCCTTGCTACATAAATGACACAACACTTTCTGCCAATGAACATGCATGACGTTGGATGTAAATCATGAGGTGTAAAATTGTCCAGTATGGATGAACAGTACTGTGCAAAGGTTTTAGGCATTGTATCATCAGCAACGAGAAGAAGCAGGAGTGCTGCAGTAGACTGTCAGGCCCCTACAGAGCCCTGATCTCAACATGAAGTCAATCTGGGACCACATGAGGTTAGTCAGCCTGAATTCACCAGAGAACTGTGGCAGGTTCTCCAAGGAGGGCCACAGCAAATATTGATTCGATTTCCATATATTCGTTGTTTTCTGCACTTTATATAAGTTAAAAGACCAACAGTATTATTTATAGAAGTATGTGCACTTTACTTTTAGTGGCTAAAACCTTTGCACAGTACTGTATTTACTATGGATACTGAGCATTATTCTGTTAGCATGCTGTAGGCCAAACTTTAGATTTTTTGTTCCATTTGTGTCAGCAGTCTAAATATAGCAATGATGTGTTGATAATTTTTTAAATGATCATTGGGCAGCCTATAGTCTTTAGCAAAAATTAAAAAAAAATAAACAGGCTAATTTGCCTGTACTAAAAATACTTTAGTTAGCTCAATAAGTGCTATGATGGACTAAGCACTGTGCCAAATGCTTCGCAGCTTGAGTAGACCACAGTTCTGGCAAAAACACTCAGTACTTGAGCCTCAGTCAAATATAAAAACATAAAATATTGTCCATCTGCAGCTCCAACACAAAAATGTCTGTACTGACCCTATGAACAAAACTGGCCCAGCTTTACATTGAACTGAGTCATTGGGTTTTGTTGATGGATCTGAAGCATCAAGCAGATACATTTTACACCCCAGTGGGGTATTTTGGTGCCCATGGGTACTGTCTTCCAGCCGTCAGCAGGTTAACATGGCAGAGTCTTGCTTTCTCCAATGCAGCTGTACTTGTGATTGAAATGAAAACAAGGCAGAATGGTTGCTGTCAGATGTGTGATATATGACCCATAAGGGGATGTTTCCAGAGCTCCCTCTCCATATGGCTGCTTACAGTCCACCAGACCTGGCTGAACTGTATCGGAAAATAATTCTGAGCCTTTTGCTTTGGCTGCAGCGCAGAGCAGATTGAGTCCACCACATCACATCCACCACTGCTAACTGGACAAAATAGGCCATAACATTTTTTAAATTAGTTTCCTTCCAAAATTACAACATGGAGCTACACAAAGTGGAAGGCTGCACTTCTTGCTTATCTGTAATCCAGCACTGATGGTCTTGGTGCACACACAATGAAGCATTATGTAGCACAGTCTGTAATTTCACTGTTTGTACA